TGGGAGCTTGTCCCAGGCAGCGGTGGGCAGCGCCTTTTAGGTGTTGCCTATTGTCACGCAGCCGAAACAAATAGTTTTACCTTTTTCCCCTTTGTCAGCAGACCGCCCATTTGCTCCAGGTAAACCCGGACGGCCGTCAAGACCTGGATTACCACGTTCACCTTTGGGCCCTCGATCACCTTGAGGGCCAGAGTGCCCCTAGAGAAATGCAAAGTTATACTACACTGATGAAGGTAAAAGGTATATAACATCAGTCAGACAAGACGAAGTAAAACAAGTAGATAGACAATATAGTTAAATTTAACGGTTTAATTGGATAAAGTCTACAAAAAACTAGAATAAGAATAGCACTTCATGAGGAAGTAGAATATTTAGAATTCGGAACATAGGAAAATACCTACGTTAACTTATGATTTTTTTTTATGAATTTCATATTTTAAAAATTGTGGTATCATTTAAAATTAACTTACACGGTCTCCTTTGGCTCCGTTTTGACCTGGTTGTCCTCTTTCACCTTTGGGTCCGGTGAAGCCCCTTTCTCCTTGTAAACCCATTGGACCTGGTTGACCCGCATCTCCTTTAGGCCCCGGCGCACCTGGTCTCCCAAGAACTCCGCCATATGATCCCATCAACGATTCCTTAAAAAACATAACTTGTTCAAAGTTGTGTGATAATTTGAGATTAAATTCGTAGACAGGGCAAAGGAAATGTGTTTGCCACAAATGGCAATGCAGCAGTCTACTGGAATTTATTCTTTACGTGTTAACTGCCGAATACTGAAACTGTATTCAATTAATCGTCAAATTCTATTATAATTTTGACAGCTGACATATTGTAAGCGCCTTTTATGAAGCTTAAGATTTGCCGCAGTCTTTGAGCGTTAGACTCATAATTGTTTTACTACGTAGTCCATATGAGTCATAACATGTTAAATTTTTTATTTTTTATTTGTAAATTGTCGTATATTTTAATTTTAATAATTTATTTAATACATGTAAGATATATTACATATAATTGAAATATTTACACTTGACAAAAATAAAAACACTAGATCTACGTATAACATGACCTAAAGCCGGCTACGTGTGCGCGCACCCTATGACCCATGATCGGGCAGCCGGGCTTGTCACACAGCCCACTTAGGATGCTTAGGATGTATAATTTATTCCTCGTTTAAGAAGCAATTAAGAGATATTTTAAGTGACAAAATACTCTAATGAACCAATCTCATATCATTAAATTTAAATAAAACGTCAACGTATATAAAATGGACTGATATTCTGTCGTTTACTGATTTTAATTGATCTCAAAACCCATCTTGAACATCAACTATTAGTTATGCTACTCTACTTTTTACTGGTCATTTTAAAAAGTGTAGCGGCGTCACTTGCAACAAAGTAACTATTTAATCATTCTTTCTTATAGATGGCAGTAATCATACTTTTAATAAGGTTATAAAGTATCTAATTGTCTATTATCAAGTATTGTTATGGTCATTGAATTGTTGCAAATTAACCAAAATTATAATACCGGTTATACGGAAAATGCGATGTTGTTGAGAATTATAGCAACATTGTTGTACAAAGTACTACTTTGGCGAAAGATTTTTTTTTGTATCGATTAATTTATATCTATACTAACATTATAAAGGTATTTTTGTATTTATCGGAATAACTTAAAAACTACTTGTTAATTTTTTGTGAGTAACATAATAACTATATTTTTAATATTTATTAATTTAAACCGGACAAAGTCGAGAGCAACTGCTAGTGCTTAATAAATCACTACTGAACATCTACTTTCAAGCCATAGATTTTTTAAATAAATGTATATTGTGTTAGTAACTTAGAGAAGAAATGTTATCAAATCTAGCCTAAATAAGTGAAATCACATATAAAAGCAAATTTATTTTTTGCGTGATTTATAATATTCCAAATACGAGTAAGATAGAATTTTTTTTATTATAAAATGCTACTTCTAATTGAACTACATATCGCTGCATTGCTTACCTTATAAATATGTCTCGGTTTCCAATTAGACTGAATGAAAAAAGAAACAAATGAGATAACAGGTAGCATAACCTAAATTAACTTGCACGTAAAACTAAAATACACTTACACAAAGGAGGATTCATGATTATAAAAATATTTTTTTTTAATTATAATTTCTTTTTTTTTTAATTATAATTTCTAACATGACAAGACATATGACAATGTAATGTTTTTTTTTTAAATTCAACTAAAAAACGTGGCAAGATTTTTTACTTCTTTATTTTCAATTTATGAATAAGTGGTAAAAATTCACACATTAAACAGACCCGTTCTCTTTATAATAACAACATAACTATAACGAGTTCTGATTTACGTACAAAGTGTACGAAATGAAATAGGAGGAAAAGTATTTAAGAAGCAATATAATTTATATTTCCTAGCTCTATGTCCTTGAAAATAACCAAATGATAAAAAAAATGATATTGTAGACGACTCTTAGACAATCTTACGAATACAGTCTTAGTTTCAATTAAATTTTATACTACGAGTAATTAAGTTTTCTAGACCTAAAGTAGACAATTACTAAAAACTTTTTTTTAATGAACTAGACTAAAGCAAATATTTATGTTTACCTCGAAATTACTATAGTCTGAAGGTCCAGGGGGACCAGGCGGGCCTGGTTGACCGGGGCTACCCGTTCTCCCGTCCACTCCCGGCTCCCCTTTAGGACCAGGTTGTCCCTCAGGACCACGTGGTCCAACATCCCCTCTTTCCCCTTTCTCCCCTCGTAGTCCCGCTGGACCTCGTTCACCAGGCACACCCGGTTGACCCTGAAAATAATTTTAAAGTGTACAAGGGGAATATGTAAAATTCAACTGCCTACCGTGAAGGAATGAAAGTGGGACGTATTGGCTAAACTTTAGGATTTTTATGTAACTATTTATATTTTTGTTTTTATGTGATATTTTCGTCAGCAAAATATTACACCGGATCTATATTATCTGTACCTTATCAGTTAATACTGAAATAATTTTCGTGATTGATAAATTTTTGTAAAAACAATTTCATTTATCGGTCACAACGACATTTGAAATAATCTTACTGATATTATAAATCCGAAAGTTTAGATGGATGGACGTCAGAGTTTGTAGTGTAAACTGCTGAACGAATCTCTAAAGGTCTCAACGAAGAACTAGAAGAACTCATAGGTTGCTAACTTTTTTTTTATGGTACACAGGCGGAGTTGTTGGAGAATGCTAGTACACAATAGTAGTACGAGTATATAAGTACACACTTTAAGTACTGTTGACACGCGAAATACTTTACTTAACATGTTAAGTATTTACATTAAATAAAATAATACAAATCACTAATTACTGATTAGCGATATACTAAGACATCAAAATGATCTTAAACCAACGATGTTGGTTAGATGTATACTAGGTTTGCACGCGACTTCGTCCGCGTGGTATTAAAAAAAGCTTACGTAACCTACGCGTTCTTTCAGGTCATGGTCTACATTTGTATCAAATTTCATCAAGATCCATGAAGCCATTTTAGAGATAAGTGGTAACAAACATCATTTAAACAAATTTACAACATTTGTATGATGAATGAGACTAGAAAGGTATGCTAGGAGTACGCTAAAGGTATATCTGAAACTGCCTTTACCTATATCGCTAGATTTTAGGTAGTTGGATTTTTGCACTTTTATCAATCAAACAGAGTTGCTCCCATAGAAAGTTCTCGATATTTTTCAATTGGTGATTTGAAGTAACTCTTTATTGGCAGGAGGAACTGAATCAGATATTAATCAAATCACGTAAAGAGTCTCTAACGAGATCCCTGTAAATGTAACGCTTTTCGTTGAATACTTACTGCAATACCGGGCGCACCGATCCTGCCTTCGATACCCATCACGCCAGGAGGTCCGGGCGGACCTCGAAGTTCTGGAGCCTTCTCTAACAGGGAGAGTATGATGGTCGCGTTGCACCCGCACTGGCCCAGCGACGCGTAATGCTCTCCGAAGATTTGCTGTAAAAAAAATATAATATGTAAATTACATTGCTTTAACTTTTTAAAGATATTGTTGCTATTTAAAACGGTAACAATTGTGCCTGTAAAAAGCTCAACTAGACAAAAGGTGGCAGAACTAGATACGTGCATGAACGTATCTATTTTTATTTAATATAGTTAAGAAGAAAATCGGGCACTACCAGAAAATCGTCATAGACGACCCGTCCCTTTCTGACAGCTGTCAATGTCATTTAGATGTATTGGAATAGCGCCTCATTATGGCAGGAGTCAGTGGCCTGAGTGTTTAATTATAGTAATATTAATGTCCTTACAGTATGTACATAATAAATATTATATTCACGTAAAATGTATTTGCAATAATTTTAATAACTGAAGTTTACATTTTCACCTCCTCTTATAAAACTATTTTGTTTCATTGAACTTGTTATATTAGAACAGGAAAGTTTTTAAAGTAAATTTAATATAGCTGTACGTTGCCGAAACAACTGCCACCTTCTCTTAAAAATAAAAAAAGACAAATTAAAAACATCAAACGAATTACTAAAATAATCTCACAAGTTGCATTTAAGTTTTCACTATTGTTTTGTGTTGTTAATAAGTACTTGGTTAGTTCACAATTTTTTATTTACACAGAAATCTGATTTCTTAAAAGCATTAATTATATGACGTTTTTGATATCTAGCTAAAGACGTAAAAACCTTGATTAAGTATACATACCTTAACTTCCGTCTTCTGCAAGAAATTTAAAAACTCAATCAGAAAATTTAAAAATCATTTATTTCATGACGTAATAACAAAGACAACAAATTTAATATCATATTTAATGATTAAAAAACAATTTAAAAAGTTCCTGTATTAATTGAAATGTATAGCTAATAAGGAAATGCTCTGTACTACCGCAAACTAAAGTTTTTTGCACGTTAAGAGGTTACTTAGCAACAGCTACGCATTAAATCAACATAATTTTACAGATATTTTGCCTACTTTTATAAGAATAAGAAGAGGATGTTGCTTAAAATCTTTAGACCGCTTGTATACCCACGAACATCTCCATAAGCAGATCTTTGTTGCCAGTTTCTGCCAAATTAGAATAAAACCAAAAGCACTTGACACTGGCCCAATCCGCTGAGGGAGAGCCATAAACAAGAAATAGAATAGAACAGATGAGTATGAACTGAAAAAGTATATTCCCCTTTCAATTATTCTCGATTCGATCATCAATTCCATCTTCCCTCGCTTAGGTAGGAGTAGGAACACTGTTTAGCTCTTGGCTTCGCATGATTGCCGCAGCTGCACGCCGCCCCAACAACGTGAGTGCGGTCTTTGTGAATAATTAGTAAACCTCTATATCCATCACTCTTAACCTGTGTAGAAACGGACTCCCCTGGTTTTAGTGGGTACAAACCTCACATACCTGTCTTCCCCCCTATACAAAAAAAGGTAGGAGTGAAAAGGGAAGAAGACAGTAGCCTCCAGCACCAGACTCAGATAAAACGCAATATTTTCTTCGTTCAGAAACAAAATAGAATACTTCATTATTAGAATAATACTTAACATGTTTGAATTATTATTCTATGTTCCTTAATGGCTTGCGAATATCGTAGAACAATGCTTATAAAGTCGATTTTAAATTGCTTATAAACAGGTGCTTTAAATCGTTGGACCGTGACGTACAAAGTATCTCGTATTGTGAACTTTAAAGGTTCCGCTCCGTAAGTTTTATCGGAAATTTAATAGAGTTCTGGATCATCACATTTGAATTACGGTGAAAATAAAATTTTAAAACTGGTTTTAAATTTTATGGTACATTATAATCATTTAATGAATACAAAAACATAAAACATTAGCTTTTGCCCGCGACTCCAACTGCGTGGAATTAAAAATAAAAACAAAGAAAAACTTACATCTCCTAGACTGTCCTCTACAGCCGTTTTGGCGGTAAACTCTAACAAAAAATCATCCATCCAAACTTTAGCATTTATAATATTACTAAGACTAGTAAAATAAGTACAGTATTAAAAAATATATGTTGTAATCTTGGAGTTATTAACGATTAAAGTAAAGATGAGGCAAAGCAACCAAGCAATGATATTCGGGTGACGCCCATGCTCTTTAATATCTTAGGAGTTACATTTTTTCATTGACTTATAGTATTTGTCTTTGTTAATGCATGCTCCAAATTATAAGGTCGCGGACGGACAGAACACAAGAGTTCCGGGGGAGTTTGTTACGCAATAACAAATATCCAAAGAGTCACATTTGACCAAACTAATTCCAACCCTCAACGACATTACAGATAAAAGTTAGGTAACACACGACTGGTACGGATCGGAATGTGGCCGGTGAGCGAAATCAAATAAATCAATACCTCAAAACGAGTGTTGGAAGCGCGCCAAGAGCTTAATAAACTTTGTTAGAAACGTTAAATTCACTTCTCAATGTGAAGTACACCAAGTTTCCGTCTAATTGAATTAATAGAACATTTTAAGGACTTGGTTACGAAGTTGCTAACTATTAGTTCGTCATATTTGCTAATCACAAATATTCAGGCGCCCAACATTCTAAAAAATCAGCCACGAGCAATCTTAACAGTTGGGTTAAATTTTACCAAAGAATAATAAAGTAAACGGAGAACAATATACATCATCGTAATATTAATTATCTAGACTTTATTTTATGATTTGATTTTATTCATAGCTTTATTGTTTTTTTAAACGGCTATAGAAATTTAAAAAAATTAACATTAAGATTAACATGAATCAAAATTAAGTTATTTTAAATTAATTACACTATAGTATTATTTTAATAGTTTATCTATTTTACTTCTATCCGATCAGATAAAAACTAACACATAATGAAATTGGAGTAAACGGATATTACCTCAAATAGCTATAATAAGCAACATAACATTTATCTTTATATATCTGTTTTTAAATTTAATTGGTACAAATAATAATAATCTTAGTAAATATACAGTTTACATTTTCCTAAACGGACTTCTAAGCGTGCATTGCTGTCGTATTAAGCTGTGAGGATACCATACTGACTTTATCTGTTGGCAAATAAATGTATACCACACTTGGCGTTGACAAACATTCGGTTAGACGTACTTAAGTAACTGGCTTGTATAGCGTGATGATTTTCTTTTTTTTAATTGAATTATTTTTCACTAAGCGGTTCATAATGTATACTGGTATATCGTAATATAAATAATATTATAAATGCGTATGTTTTGATGGATGGATGTTTGTTAGAGTTTGTAGCCTAAACGGCTGAACGTATCTTGATGAAATTTGGCATAGACGTAGAGGGATATTCTGGAAGAACACACAGGCTACTAACTTTTGTTTTTTTGAACTGCACAAGGACGGAGTCGTGGGCGACAGCTAGTTAGTTATAATTAGGAACCTTGACTATTCTGTGCATGTTTTGATTAATCAATAAAATCAGTAATAAAAATTTATTGCTCTCAATCAATAATACCTTTACTAATAAAAGCCTTGGCATGTATGCACTCGCAGCAATTGTGACATTGTTTATTACAAGGGCTTTTAAAATAGTCGCTTGACCTAATATTTGTTGTATCTTTAACGTCATAAGTGCTAGCAGGGCTCTACAATAACTACTAGAGTCTAGTGGTAATGACGTAGTTCTGAGGCATGTTGGAATAATTTAATTTGGTACGAGCAATTTGTTAGTGCATAAAGTGGCTTGTACTTCTCAAATGCGAAGTGAGAGTTAAAGACGTAATGAGTCGACACTAAGTAGACAATTTCGATAGATATTGTTCTGTCAGATAGCTATCCCAATTAATTACTTCGAACAGAAATGATTACTGTAAACGTATGATTGCCTGGTATGTATATTTGCCTGTTTGATTTATTCAATCCTTTAGATTGTTTTTAGAAATTTTCTAGGATAGCTCTTCTTAAGAAAACATTAATGATAACTTAATATGATTTATTCTTTGGAGCATATATCTATACTAATATAATAAAGCGTAAACACACTACTTTGTGGCGTAATACGTCAGCAATCACAGCATATTTTTGAATATTTCTTTCTTTAATAAAAAGCCCTACACTTACGTCACGTTTTAGGATATGTATTTTCACTCTATTAAACTTAAAGGGGAAATAAATTGGATACAACCGGTTATGAGGGGAATCTGCGAACATCAAGGAAGTAAGATTGCCATAGTTTGTCATCAAGTCATGTCATTTTGACATTTACAATTGATAATTTGACAAATATAGACAATAAAATAAGATTTTCATAAATTCATGCGGATGAGGTCGCACGGGAACAGGTAGTTTTAGGATTAAGTAAGTTCAACTTGTACTAGTCGTAGGAATAACTTTAAAATATACTTACGCCGTCTCCTGACCCTGAAAACTCGTGAACTGGTACTGTCCCTGGGGTTCCTGGCTGGCCGGGAGGTCCTGGAGGTCCGGGCGGACCTCGGATTGATTCTCCAGGCGGACCCTATACAAAACAAACAAGTGCAATAAATATACTGAAGAAGTACAACTAGTTGTTAAGATTTCGAATTTAGTTATTGAATTATTGTTATAAGAACATGTTTTCTTGTACAAATAATATTTGTTCAACGTATGTTTTGGCAGTGGAACTTTGCTTTACATGAAACAATGAAGTATTTCTAAACATATTTATTATTAGAACATGTGTTATGACTGTGTGCAATATAATTTGAATTCTGTCTTGCCCTTGGTCCGCGATCTCCTTTTTCTCCTCTCATACGCGGTGAATATCCTGGAATGAAAAGATAAAGTTTACTGTTTTAAGATTGTGTAACTGCAAGTTTACAGTTTAATAATTTATATTTCCTTAATAATAATTAATAATTCACTGACTTAAAGTAATTAATTAATCTTAAATGTAATATTTACACAACAATATTGCAAGCGTACTTGGAATATAAAACAAAAAATTCACGAAAGGTAGTGACGAATATTGACATATACAAAAATCATTATCGACTTACAACGAGATATGCAACACTGGATGTGGCATGAAATATGTAAGTTAAACTATAATCTAAGTTTCTGGTCCACTGTTAAAGTAATATTACGAGACTATATAACAGTAATTTATAAATTCACAGATGAAATTATATAATTTGTCTACATAATAAAACCTTTTAACAAAAATATTATTTGCATATTTTGTAACGTGAAAGTTGAAAAACAAAGCACAGTTATCACATCTGATAATACCATAGGGGCTGTTGTCAAAATATGAAAACAACTTTGACATTTATACGCAGGTATAAAAAAATAAATGCATTTTAAGAATATGCTATTACATTTGAGGTACTGGCTACTTTCAAATTAAGAAAAGACATGGTAATAAGGTAAGAATATTATCTCATCATACAATTTGTCTTAAAAACTGTTTTAGATTTTTTAAATCGAGCTCGCAGTTTATTGTCTTCAGTAATATTATACACAGGTCACAGTTTATAATATTTCAGTCCAATGATAGTAGTAATTGCTGTATTATAACTGGAAGGAATCAATCCACACAGTGTGGATTTAATTTTTTTTAAATTGTTACCTTACACCCTATATTTGATCGCTAGACTGGATTTTTTTAAACTTGGCATTAAGTCAAGATCACAGTACCATCTTAGTAATATCATGTTAATTTTAAAAAGTGATCAGTCGCACCGTCAAGTCCCGGCGGCAGGGGCGGGAAGGGCGGAGGCATGGTGCCATAACGACCGGACCCCTCGGCATCCCCCTCCTCTTGGTCCACCTGAATCAAATGTAATTAATTGATGACCCGAAATTAGATTCGACCTTTATAAATAAATTATGCATTTAAAAAGTAACAATTTTTCTCTAAGCTTCAGCACAAAATTAGCAACGTAATCACATTCAAATTACGCCAACGTTCAATAGGAAATTTAATTTATTATTGACTTATCAGATTTGAACATAGGAGCTAAATAATCTACGGTATATTCAACTATAATATTATATTCCTAGGTGATCACTATCTTCACGGGTACTAGAAAAATTAGAAAGGCAATAACGCCTGCATTTTTTTAATAGCAATATGCTGCAATTAAATTATGCAATCAATATATTCTTAACGAGCTGTTGCCCGCGACTTCGTCCTCGTGGTTTTAGAAAACATACGAACTATATAAATAACAAAAAGCTACGTATCCCTCGGGAACTTGACACCTCGGGGATGAAGCTTATCCCATGTATACTGCAGACTTTGTTTTATATCTGTGCCAAATTTCAATAAGATATGTTGAACCGTTGCAGAATGATCGAGTAAACATTTAAAAACTAAATTAATAATTCCCAAGGGAACCGTAACTTATCCCGGGATAAAAAGTAGCCTATGTGTTCTTCCAGACTAAGCTCTAAACCATGGAGATCCGTTCAGCCGTTTAGGCTACAAACGCTAACAAACATCCATCCATCCATCCATCTAAACTTACGCATTTATAATATTAGTAAGATTCAATTTACACAAAACTTAGTGTAGACTCTAAATTGTGTTTGTGTCCATTTTAAGCTTATAAGTCCATTTTAAGGTGCTGTGAAGAATCCTGTATCCTATATACAGGATTCTTCACAGCACTTTAAGTGCTTTTGTAGACGCGACGACTAATTTAGTCTTCTTACAGATTAACTGACAAGATACTTGGGACAATAAAATACACATTGGTATTGTGATACTTAAAATGTCAGCCGCAATTTGCGTTAAGTTCTTAACTAGCTTGGTTGTATCTCGTTAGCTGAATAACTGCGGCATTGTCTTTTATCCAGGGACAGATTGAACTTTGTAATAACACCACATACTGAATCGGTTTCCCAGCTACTTTTCATCATAAGTTAGTGTCTGGTTTGATAATATTAATGAGTAACTAGATGATAAAATAAACGGGAAAATCAGCAACCCATCATAAATGTATTTGATTATCTTGAAATATTTTCTTTTAAGACCGATACAATAAAAATTGGAGTGTCTGTTTGTAATATCAAAAGAAAATTTCCAGATTTCGGGAAGATGATGCATTTGCTTTGTTGATAACGAAAAGCATTTTAAAAATGTTTGTCTGTCTGTCCGCAAACCGCGATTGTTCCGGGTAATCTCCGAAGCGGCTGGTATGATTTCGACGGTACTTTTATTGGAGGGTAGGAGTTAGTGGAGGAGTTAGCTAACATGGATAGATAACTTTAAAAAAAAAATACCCGCTAACGAAGTTTGCGGGCAACAGCTCGTACTCTTATATTATCTAAGTACTACAGATTTATATCTTAAAAGTACAGTTAGGTTTTTTTTATCTTATTTTCAACATTTTCAGATCTTATTTCAAGAAACATGTTATTAAGTTCCGGGAAAATAGTTTTATTCCTTTTCTCTGAGGTGAAGGCGAGTAATGTTTTATTAATTATTTACACAAAGTTAAAAGTCAATATCATTTAAAAAAACGTATATTCCATTATTCGAAATTATCATATTAGAAAGATTATTCAAAGATCATAGTAGCTAGCATACGAGTAGCTAGCCAGATATTTGATTTAGTGACAGCTATGGCCATGAAAGTTTGGAGTGTGCTGCGAAATTTGTCAGTGATAATAAAAGCTACGTACTCTAAAAATGGGACCGTAAAAATGTACACGAATAAATCAAAATAAACAACCACATTGAATAATACTCAAGTCATATAAAGCTTTAGAGAACATTATAAACACGAGTGTTTGTATGTTTACTCGACCGAACAAAGGTTCTATAGCATACAATGTACTGGTTATGTTACCAAGAGCTTCTTGAGCGTTTGATTACAGTATCGGAAACAGAGAACTCAAGACGAATACGTAATTTGCGTCTGCGTTTCATATAAGGTCGACGAGTTTCAAACCCTCTTTTCATGTTCGTCTAATCAAGTGGCCTTGTTATTTGTATCGTATGAGGAAATGAAAAAATAATAAGATTTACGAAATTTCTCTTATATTTTGGCTTTAGTTTTTTATCGCAGAAATATTTGGAATAAGCATTATTATTCGGAAATGAACAATTTGGAACAGAATGAAAATACGTACGAAAATAAGTACCTTATATGTCAATTCTGATTACATTCGAGATTCCTATTGTTTGATAATGGTTTTGTCAATGTATTCAATAGCTGCAATTTCATGGTCGAATTCTTCGATATTGCTCATTGTGCATTAAGAAATACATGTACCAAGGTGATCTAAAATAACAATTCAATAACACATAAAATCGTTTTTATTCACTCTTCTTTTGTTATCAGTTTCAGGGTTTCTAATTAGAACATACTCTTAAGATATGTTTGATGTCGAATCCGTCATTTTCTATTGTTTGAACTTCTATTTTTAAAACTAATTGATCTGGCAATGATTATGATAAATGAGAAGTTTATGCGTTCTTTTTTCAAAAACCGAAGTTTAGTCAAGTTTGGAACGTTTGAAAATAGAAACTAAATTGGCGAATGTTCTTATCAACGACGTTTTTTTTTTAAATTGCACAGCTCTTTAATTGTTACTGGATTGACCTTCGAAAATAGACGCGTATCGTTTAAAGTAGATTAGGTCATCGACCATCGGTTATCAGAAAGAGGGTTCGGTGGCGATAAAATTCAATATCTAATTCTAAAAGTAAACATCATACGATATAACACAGGATGTAGGCATTTGAAAAGGCGACTCTATCAATGTGTCCGACGAAAAGTTTTAACTGGTATGCGGAATGTGATATTGGGTTCGGGTAGACTTAAATTGCAAATGCCTTTGTCAGACGGATTATTCACATTCGTTTGAATCTAATAAGTATTGGGATATTTTACTAAATTCTCTATTCAATTTTTTTATAAATAGCTTTCATGCGCGACTTCGTTTGCGGAATTTAAAAGTACTCATAATGCATAGAAACTCTCGATTATCGATTTTTTAAAGATTATCCAAAGATCACAGTAGCTAGCATACAAGTATTCGGCCAGATACTTAATTTTGTGGCAGCTACGTTCATGAAAGTTGAGAGTGTGTTTCGAAACTTGACAGTGATACATACTGTTTCATGAACAGACTTGAAAGGCATTGTTCCATTTTTCTGCAATATAGTCCTTCTAGTATGCACGATTTCATTATTTTTACTTCTTTACTTTCTTTGGAATAAAGCATTAAAAATGTCACTTCACTGTTAAACGTATTTCATAAGTCTACTACATTGCTCTCTTTACCGTCTGTTTCGTTTGGTTTATCTTTGTTTACTAGTACTTCATTAACAATTGTTACGATAACGTGGAATACAATATGATGCCTAATGTGACAGTACTATCAAATATTACATCAGTATGATCTGAATTAAGACATGTTGTCATTATGATCATATAAGTTTTTATTGTGACGGATTCGCTGTTGACGTTAATCAAACTGCATTCAGTTAAGAACCGTAAAGCGGTCATCGACTCTGTTAATGATAAAGCATAAAGGTTTTACTTGTCTAGACTGACATGGACTTAATTCATTGTTGCCATTACGCTTTGCTCTCTTGCAAAAATAGAATTCACTTTTCACAATGAGTAGGGCTTAAATTTGATAGATGTAAGTACTTTTATAGTAAAAGATGGCAAAGGAAAGCGGAGGCTTGCATTCGTCAAAATTACTAAGAGAATGTTACATAGATATCTGCATTTGTTAAATGGTGTCTCTCATTGTAGATACGTTAAGGAGTATCTTAGTATCCAATTACTGCGATGGGTGCATTCGTTAATGTTATTTATAGATAGAAATATTGTCCACTAGCTTTCGCGCGCGACTCCGTCCGCGTGGTATTAAAAAAAATGAGTAATCTATGTGTGCTTCCAGACCATCCTCTATATCTTTACAAAATTTCGTCAAAATACGTTCAGCAGTTTATGCTACAAACTCTAACAAACATCCATCCAGCTAAACTTTCGCGTTTATAATATTAGTACGATTCAAATCTGGATCACTGACGAATATAATTTTTAACGTACTATTGAACGTAAACTTATAATGAAGCTAATTTTGTGCTGTAAAAAAATAAATAACAAAAGACGATCACATTGATGTTAATTCTGATACGAATTTACCCCGTTGTTACAAAGTGCATTGGGAGACGTCACAAATGTTAGTACACAAAACAATGTGATATAAAGCGTTTGTGTTAAACAGAAAAAAAATGAAACTTAATCACCAAAAAATTGTCAATGTCAATTTCGTCTCCACCGCTGCCGTTACCGATCTCCTGTTAAAATGTAATGAATACAAAAATACATACTGCAAGATACAATTTTTTTTTTCTAACCAAAGAAAGTAAAATCTCCAAGTCTTTCTTTCTGGTCATGATTAAAATGTAAAAAGAAACCAATTTAAAAAAAATGCTTTTAAATCTATTGAGAATGAAATTTTTTAAAACTTATTGATGAAAAATCTAAAGGTAGTATTACAAATATCTTACCTCGAATGTAGTGACACATTGTACTTCAGCCTGCGAAGATGATCCGTACAGCTTGAGCTCTTGAAATGCTCCCTGTACCACGATCAAGGTTAACACACATCTCCACAGCGATTTCATAACGACTGGCAATTTATCGACTCTTGAATACCGTGGTAAAAGAAAAGCACTTTTACATTACAATCCTCATTTTTTATAACTTTTAAAAGTATAAACCACAAGGTATATTTTTAAGAACGAATTCTTTTTATTTATTTCTTTATGATGTTAAAAAATAATTTCAAACGTGTAGACAGTTCGGCCGAAACCACCGACTTAACGATGTGATAGTTTGAAATGAATCGAAGTTAGTTATGGTGCACCTTCATTTGTTTTTATGTTTTTATTACTGGACTTAGTAGCGATTGTTTTTAACTTAAGTTCCTATAAATCCGGCCGGAAACTTGTAAGAACACGTGCGCATGCACCGCACGCGTGTCAGTCAACCCGTTCGCGGCGATGCACTAAATTTAAAACGAACACTGAAGCCACTACGTCCGAAATGTTAGGACTCCCATAAGCCTGCTTCTCTTAAACGCTACTAGTGTTTAACGGTTCACTGTAAATTGGTCGTACTGATAGCGATACCTGGACAACCAAATTGCATTGTTTGACTTTTAAGGTACAAATATTTGGGATGTATTACCTAAAAATTATTAATCTGAAACAACCCTGTATTATAAAACGTTATTTTTTGTTTCGCTTCATTGCATTTATTGGTATATTTTTGTCTCTTTTCCTCAACTATGTTAGATCATTAGACATGATCATCTAGGACACATTTACCAACAGTGTCTTTCATTTTTACTTCGATACTAATGAACCTTTTCACGTTTTTTATTTTTTTTTTTAAATCCCGGAAGAAGTTAAATTTTGCAATTTTAGACTAAAATGAAAATAATCAGTATCGAAATCTATACTATTATAATAAAGCGTAAACACACACTTTGTTGCCTAAGATGTCAGCAATTACAGCAAATTTTTGAATAATACTTTCTTTAATAAAAAGCTATACACTTACGTCACGCTTTAGGCTATATATTTTCACGCCATTAAACTTAGGGGGTAAATATTTTGGATAAAAACCCTAATGTGGGAAAGAGACCATAAGTTGCTGCCAACATCAAGGAAGCAAGATTGCTAAGGTTTGTCATGTCATGACATTTTGACATTTGCTATTGATAATTTGACAAATGTAAACAGTAATATAAAATTTTTATAATTTTATGCGCATGAAGCCGCACGGGAACAGCTAGTATACCAATAATTAAAGCATTAATAAAACAGCGCAATATCTAATAATTGGTTTATTAATGTTTTCTAAGAGGTTAGACGTTAAGTGTTTTACTTTAATTGAATTTTTGAAGTATTATATCAATTAAAATCATCTTCCCGGTGCCTTTGTAAATTAAATAATTGGTTAGTCGAGGCCTTTGTAATTAAATTGGCAAACCATCTGTTAATTCTAAAAATCTCTGAAACGTTACTTAAAATGTCAACATTTTAATTTTCTATGCGATAATTTAAGTATTGGATTGCTTTTTTCTTAAATATTCTAGTCTTATAACCCCACTAATCTCAGTACCAAACGCAATATTGTATTCTATAGCTCGTTTGTATGTAAATTTGAATATCGCATCAATCTTGGTTTATATGAAATTAATAAACCGTAACGCAGGTTGGCAGAAAAGGAAATTAATTACGGCTGAGTAATCTTGAATGATTAGGTAAAAATTAGTTAAGATAAATTACGGGATTCTGTACTTCCTTGATTGTTCTACGAAAACATTATGACAATATTTATAATAGAGAGTCTACCACGAATATTTGTGCGACAGTTACGAGAACGTAATTTTAACGTTCATCGACAAAATTTGTATATAGTTATTGGTGTACTTCACGTCCGGTAGGAGGCGCTGCCGTAATCTAAAAATTATCACATTTATTGGTGTACTTTACGTTCGATAGGGGCGCTGTACAGATCTAAAAAAGATATCGATGAGGTTAAGCAAATCATCTCAAGAATATTCGTGTTAGGCGCTATGCTATATTTACGCTTTCGTTTTTCTACTAGGAAAATTTGAAAATAACTCGCATTTTTTGCTTATCACACTCTGCTTGGATTCACAACAGGTTTTCGTGTTTCAATAATCTGCTCTTGATTTTTGCAGTCGTCAATTCTTAGTTCTGTTGCCCTTTAGGTTCTCAATTATTTAAAGTACAAATAAGTATATTAAAGTAAGTATTTACTCTACGTTTGCCCACATCTTCAAGTAGGCAGTACGAGAATCGATTTAAATTCTTTCAACAAAGTCCCAGAAAGTTCAGCAACAAATCCGTTTAAAACTAACTTCTTATCCAGCTGTTTAATTAACGAAGCACGTCTTGTTACAAATACTATTCTCTAACTAGTAGTGGGAATTTTCGTGTCTATTTATCTTTTGTTTCAGAAACAGCCTCGTGTTAGGATTTGTGTATCATTTAGTAACAATACTCTTGGTTACATTTATTTTAATTATTTATTTATTTAGGCCTAATTTTAGTCCCATTTCCTTACCACCCTTTTTCTTAAGTGGAAAGGATAGGAAGGAAAAATAGATTTGTCGGTAAAGGAGATGCATAGGAAGGGGAAATGTCCTCTTTATGTGCGTTTACTCCTCCGTCAATTAAGGGTAGGCAAAGCATACCAACCTTAATTTAAATTATATAAAAATACAAAACAGAATAGTAAACTTCACATATATTTTAGTTTAATTCTTATAAGTCGGTATTTTGTTTAATTACATATCCTTGGCTTTTTTACTACATTGATTCTCTGTATTAAATTTGAGAGTAGATATTCATAAAATCTGATATGGTTACGTGATTGGGCCGTAAGGACAGTGAGAATCCTCAGGATGAAGAGCAACAGCTCTCTCGAACTCTATTATTATCTTCTTAAAAACTGCCATAAGTTTTTGCGTACCAGAATACTTCAGAAAACAAAGTATAATTTGTATGGACTTGATGCTGAATTTTCTAACAACGTCCGCGCAGCTGCATCAAAACTTTGCACTTAGTTGCTCAACTATTTTACAAGCAAGGTAATTGATTGCGCTAAAAGTTCGCAGAAGTCTCTCCTCTAAAATACTAATTAGGAACTACAAAGTAGACGGAATCGGGCTAATTAAGAGCACAATTTAAACAATGTTAAATATGCTATTTTATTTTTACAGGCGTTGCTTTCTGAAAATGAATATGGCTATCACACGTTACACCTTTTTTAAACTTTCTTACAAAGTTTAAGAATCAAGTTATATGAGAGTAATTAATATCAAAGGTCAAGTTGAACTTAGAAGTTTAGACTTTGTAATGCCGCTTAAAGGTTAAAGCTGTTAAAAAGTAAGTAAAAGTAGTTAGGTAAAATTTTAAAAACCCTAGCTACCAACTAAACTGCAAGGAAAGTTTTAATTGGCATAGTTTATAAACTATTTCATCAAGTGGTCCTAACTGATGGCACTTAAAGTTGCCTAATTGACATCAAGTTCGATGTTGACACCTTAATTGTATTTTTCTCATATTTTTTAATAAAGCGAGTTATATACAATTAGATAATACTGTTGAAAATGTTTTAAAAATCAAGATAAACATATGAAAACTATAAAATTGGTAGGTTTATCAAGTCTCATACGGAATGTCGTAAGAGAAGTAATAATTCAAATTTAATATTAAAATTTTCTACTGAAGAAAAAAGATAAAAAAGAGTAACTTGAAATAGCTACTGCCTTTATGAATAAAGTGCGCTGCAAAGCACTAAATTCCTTTAAGTCGAACTGCTTTAAGAAAAAAGAGCAATTGAGATTATTTTCTCTGTGAAAAGCGTAAAGCGTGCCGACCTAATTAACTTTATTAATATTTTCTTATTAAATTTTCTACATATTTAATGTAATATTTAACATGTGAAACAATGTTATGTAATACAAAGTCTATATTAGGATAAGTTTATTTATTTTTTTCAGTTTTATAGTTTATTTAGTTTCTAATTTTTTTAACGATTTTAGTTTCTGGCAACTAATAATTTTGAGTACTGGCAGTGCATCGTACATGATAGATGTCAGGACGACGATAGAATGACTGATGACAGTTGTCGTTGAATGGTGGTATGATGCGTTTTGTTATTATAAAATCAATTGGTTAATTCTATGTAAAAGTTTGCAGTTCGATCAGAGTGTCTTGTGAAGTTATCATTTAAGATGGTAGTCAACTAAGAATAATGTTTCTAATGTTACGCGATTGTTATTTTATTATCTCCGACATACGTACATTCACAATGAAAATCGTTACCGTGTACATAATTTACCTTCGGATTTGAATTCTAGAACCGTCATTTCACCCCGACATATATTATTTATTTATTTACATTATTCTTTATTTGAATTATGTAATAGGTTCATATTTAATTCAAATATAAAAATAACCCATATTCACTCTATATTCCGTTACATTAATAAAACCCGATAACTCGCTGGAATAGGTATTCCCTTTAAGCTATTCCCAGTTGAAAATGCACTATTTTAGTTCATTTCGAGACCATAATTTCTGAAGGCGACTGATAAAGGCGGAATTCTAACTTTAGCACCTGAACTTTCTGTTACAGTAAATTCTCCTTCCGTCCTCTATTCCCTGCATCTTACACTTTACGTGCACATTTTCGACAAATTTAAAAAACCGTCCATGTTATAATAAGGTTTTGTGAGATTTACTGACAAACTAGTAACCTGTTAATCAATCGCTAAGGGAGACTCTCAATCTAGATCTACTCTAAAAGACTCTGAGTGTGACAATAAAATAACACGACTTTATTCAGAACTGAGATTTCATAAAGTTGGTAGTAATTAAAAGTAACCTGGTAAATTTTAGTGAAAATGTGTACTAAAAGTTACGTATATAATTTTTATATGTGTATAAAACTAAGTGCTTACTAAGTTAAAACTTTTACAGTATTGTTCTAGTATTTGAATGCATAGAATAATTTATAATAAATGAAAATAAAATCA